CTTCACCGACTGAGCCACCCAGGCACCTCTCCAATCCCATTTGAAAGATAAGGAAAGTAAGGCCCAGAGAGGTCCTGGACTTCATGTCCAAGGTTACATGAAGGGGACAGTTATAGAAATGAGTTTGAGTAAGAATAAGATAGACACATGGCAACGTGGATGGATCTTAAAAAATCGTACAGAAGGGGGTGCCTGGCTGGCTCAGTCAGAACAGCATGCAATCTTGATCTCTCGGGGTCATGGGTTCGAGCCCCACATTGGATGTACAGATTACTTAAAAAAAAAAAAAGCTTTAAAAAAGTTTTAAAAAGATAGTGCTGAATGAAAAAGTTAACAAATATGTATTCATATATATATATAACCCTTTGTGTAAACATGCACTGTATACTACACATTTTTCAAAATGTATACAAGCCAAAAAACTACACATGAAGCACATTAGGGTGGTTGCCTTAGGATAAGGGGTAGGAGTGAGCTACAATGCTGAATCAGTCGGCTCCGGCTGCCGTAACAAAATACCACAGGCTGGGAGTCTTAAACAACAGACATTGATTTTCTCATAGTTCTGGAGACTGGAAGTCCAAGCTCAAGGTGCCAGCAGGGCTGGTTTCTGGTCTCCTTGGGTCGCAGACAGCTACCTTCTCACTGTGGCCTCACGTGGTCACGTGGCCTTTCCTCTGTGCCTGGGCTGAGATCATGGGTGTCTCTTCTAATAAGGACACCAGACCTATTGGATCAGGGTTCCACCCTTATGACTTCATTTAACCTCAATTACCTTCTTAAAGGCCTTATTTCCAAATATAGTCACATTGAGGGTTAGAGCTCCAGCACATGAATTTGGCAGGGAGGGGTGGGGAGACACAGTTGAGTCTGCAACAGGGGCTAACAGGGAAATAATAAATAGAACCACAAGCAGTGGAGAAAGAAAATGAGGTGGAGCAGTAGGTGCAATCCAGATCCAGCAGGGCCTTATAGGCCATAGTAGGAAGACAAGCTTTAGAGGCCTGGAGAGGTGACTCAGGTCATAAAGGCTAAAGTCAGGGTTTGTGCATACAGCTGATTTGACTCCAAAGCTCATGTCATCTGAAACTACTCGAGTCCTGATAACCAAGTGGAAATGTGTGTATTTCATTTTACCATGAGGAAAATGGAGTTTAGAGAGGTCCAATGACTCGCCCAAGGTCCCGTAGTAAGTGGGAGAACTGAGGTTTGCAGAGCTTTCTGCCTCCAGAGCAAGGCTCCTTTTACATGTTCTGCTAGCCTTGGGCCCTGACCAACTTCATTCACTCATTACTCCATGCACGCATTCATCTAGTATATTATTTATTGGCACCTGCTTTGCGGCAGGCCTTGGCAAGACACTGAAGATATAGAAATGAAGAGGACATGGTCCATGACCTCAGAAAGCTCAGCCGGTAGAGAAGATAGCCAGATAAATAAATGCAAGCACTGGGGAGAGGTCTGTGGAAGGGGTTAGAGAGTTTGGAGGAGGGAAAATGACTGTGCCTGGGGTA